TTAATTAAAATGAAAAATTCATGATGTTTTCATACATATGACACTGCCTAATCACAATGAAACATCAGTTCAATAACACTGCAAATGTTTTGTTTGTTACAAAACATCCACATTCATATTCCATTGTTATCTGCTCTTCTGAGAATGAGAATATAACACTGCAGAGGTAAGATAACAAGCTGCAGGATTAGGTCCCCACAGCCAGAAGGCTTCCAAACAACAGTACAGCATCAGTCTTTTCTTTCTTTCTTTCTTTCTTTCTTTCTTTCTTTCTTTCTTTCTTTCTTTCTTTCTTTCTTTCTTTCTTTCTTCCTTCCTTCCTTCCTTCCTTCCTTCCTTCCTTCCCTCCCTCCCTCCCTCCCTCCCTCCCTCCCTCCCTCCCTTTCCCTTTCCTCCCTTCCTCCTTATAAAACATCCCACGAAACAGCTTTTCTCCAATGGAGAAATGTCTCAATTTCTCTGTAGTGCCTGCAGGAAATCTGGAGAAATGGTAGCAGGCAAGAAGGCAGACATTGTTTCCACCAAATCAAGCTAATTATTCATTTTTCAAGGAGGAAAATAACCAGACAGGGAGGGAGAAAATGTACCTCCCCTTCCTTCCTTTTATGAAAGGAAGCAAAAGTAATCTAGACTTTTTCTGTTTATCATGAGACAGGAAGTGATTTTTTTCTCCCTTTAAATAATGGGAAGTGAGGGAGGATATCATTCAATGAACTTCTCATAATGATTGCCTCCAACATAGAGTCACCACCAAGCGGGGCTCATAACAACCCTCATTTTCACCAGAGGAGAGGCAGCAAGACGCATGGTTTCCTATGTGCATATCTCTCTGTGGCCTTTTGGATAGGCCTGTAATCCAATCCAAGAAGGCAATTCTTAATGATTTCTCATATATTTCTTAAAGATTTCTCATATATTTGTCAAAGATATTGTCTTTAAAATGAAAGTTCCAAGGCAACTGGAAACAATTTAAAAAAAAAAAAAGAAATTCACAACAAAATGTGTTGCTGATTTGAACTTTTGTTTGCACCCTGTTGCGCGGTGGAGGCTATCACACTGCTAGGACCAAACTGTGAGGCAAGAGGTCCTTCCAAAGAATTTTATCAGCAGTAATTTTGTATATTTGGGCTTTAAACGCATATTAAAGCCCACTGGAACAAAAAATGTTCTAAAGAATTGCCTTTGGGGGATAGCCAACATATGAAAAACTTCATAAAAATACAGCTTTATTGCCTCCAGGTCAACATTTTTGTTCATTCTTTATTTTTTTTTCCTTAATGCAAGATAAGACATAAAATCTCTCAAGGACATTTAAACAAAATGGACATGAGCAGAGAAAAGTTTTTCTAATATGCTTTTTATAATAGCAGAGCATCAATTCTGTGTTTGTCTTCTCGATGCAATCCTTCAGTTATGGTGAAATTTCTGACACTAAACAAAATGAACGTACATAGCCCTCTTTGATTAAAAGACTAGATAGTCCTTGACTAAGTCTTACAACCATTATTCAGCCCAAGTAACACAGTTTTAACTGAAACTGGCTGCCCATTGATTTTGCTTGTCAGAAGGTTGCAAAAGATGATCTCATGACCCTAGAACACTGCAACCGTCATAAATATGAGCCACTTGCCAAGGGTCTGAATGTTGATCGTGCTAACATGGGAATGCTGCAATAGTTGTGTGAAAAACACTCGTCACTTTTTTCAGTGCCATTGTAACCTCAAACAGTCACACTAAATGAACTGTTGTACATTGAGGACTACCTGTATTCTGGGGTGAATGTTACTTTCAAATGGAAATGGGATGGGTTTTAGATAATGTTGGATTAGATAACCTGCTGTTCTTTTGTGTGCTTGCAGTTTTATGATGCACTTAATCATATTGATGCTTTGGAATAATTATTCCAAAGATGAGCAGCATCAGTACATGGCATGGCCTGACAAATGCTGGGAAACATCTTTTTTTATTTTATATATTGGCATGGGCAGATTTACCTAATAATCTATGGGAGGGACCCTTGACACATTTTATCCTATCAGTGGCACATTTTTGCAAGGAAGCCAGCAGCCTGACCCTCCCAATATTCTGTATTTAGCACAACAGCAGAAGAATGTTAATGCCATGCAGGCAGAGAAGGCACTGTAGAAGAATTAAAGGGATGCATCTTGATTTTCTATACGGTAGATACTGAATCTTGTATTAGAAGGGGCGGGGGACAACGACAGTATTTTGAAAGGGCCCATATGTCCTAGTGAAATGAGTTTTGGGGGGTCAATGGGTTATCATAACTCCAAGGATCCTCCCCACTTCCTGTCAAGAGTAGCTCAAGCCATCAGAAAGCTTGAAGAAGAAATCTTTTCACAGGCAGTCCTCGAGTTAGGACCATAATTGAGCCCCCAATTAAGGCCATGAAGTGGGTCAGATGACCAGAATCAATTTTACAACTTATGAGGGCAGTTAAGTGAGCATAGTCTCTGTAAAGTGAATGTGGCAGCCATTAAGCAAATCCATTGTTTGCTATGATGTGGTTTTTGCCGAACACTGCAAGTCAACACCAGTTTCTGGCAAATATGTCATGTGAGCATGGGGCACTGCAAATGGCTGAGGGCCCAAAATGTGGTCATTTGATTGCAGGCAGACAGAGGGAGGCAGATGTTGGATCTTCATAACTTTTTCAGAATCCAGCATAACTTTGGTCACTATATAACTGGCCTTAAGTCAAGGACTACCTGCAGATCCAATTCTCTTCTGGAGCAATTTGTTATTTAGGAATTGGGAAAAGCAAATGGCAGTTCCCATGCCATAGCTGCATAACACTCCTCCTTAAACCTCCACTGCTAGGCCTATTCTGTACTCAAAGTTCAGGAAGTCCTCATGAATCAGGAAAACAGGTGAAGGGAAAGCAAGGCAGCTTGGCTTGGATCTCTTCAAACCTGGAGCTGACACAGCTGCTTCAAGAGTAGAGAAAAGCTATTCCTGAGGGGTGGTATCCTGTCAGGCAGAACTGGAAGCTCTGAAATTCAGGTGTTAAGGGGGATGCTGTCTGCCTTCTTACATTAAAAGGAAGCCTGTGCATTGTGTACTTTTTTCTCAATCAATCCAAACCCCTAGGGAATTATTTTGCACACATACTACATTTCATACCTACATTGACAATTATTGAAAAGGTGCAATCCAGTTTATTTTGGATTCCAATAAATGTGCAATCCAATTTATTTTGGATTCCAATCAGCTATAATGAAACACTGCAAAATAAGAGGAAATCCAATAGAAGTCACTGGGTCATTGGTCTCTCCTAAACACTGGTGACTCTATAGCTGTGCATTAGCTCTATTACCATGAAAGTCCCACATAATAAAGCTTTTCCCTCAGAACAAGTAAAATCTCTATTTTAGAAGGGAACCAATTGTTTTCTCTTGTGGGCTACATTCCTTTGAAAATAATTTCTTGGGGATACCTTAGGTGGGGCTTTAAGTGAGCAGTGGATGGATTCAAAGCCACAGTGAGATCATTGGTGCATCTTTTCTGACACCTCTTAAATCCTCCATTGCCTGTATCTTATCTGCCTATCTGTATCTTTTACTCCTTTTTTTTCATCCAACAGTTCTAGAAATGGGACAGATTGGTGCCATTGCTTATAGACAAATTGATTTCAGGTATGCTCATAGGATCACAGAGTAGCAACTATTTGCATTTTACTTTAGTAAGTCAAAATAAAAGTCATTGAGTCAGGGCTACCAAAAATCAAAGGCATAATTGCAAAAGCGGTGCATTTGCAAATATTTATCGCAGAGGAGGAAAGACAGCAAAATATCTTGCATCCTTCCCTTGAAACTCCACCTAACAACCGGAAAACATATTTACACATTTCCACTGAAGCAGGATACTGGTCTCAATGCCATCCCATTATTTGGCAATCTGACAACTTTGGATGAAGTCAAAACTTAGTCAACAACAATTAATTTATGTTAATATATCTGCTCTCACAGACCTTCACATCCTTTGATAACCGGCTGTGGCCTGAACACGTGACAGGAACAAAATTCTCCATTGTACTGGATTTGCTCTTCCCCTACATCTTTTTTTCTGTTGGTTTTAAAGAGGGAGGCAGGGCCTAATTTTGATGTAAGGTACTTCTGTTCAAGCCACATTCTCTGATATTATGGGTAAAAATACTAATGGCGTTGAACGTTATGAAACCAGTTCCCGATAAGTTCCCATCCCTCTCTAGCTTGCAATATGATCTCGGCCTAACTTCTCAGTCCTCAGGGTCGGGTTGATGATCAAGTGTTGGTTCACCGCCCACATGAATCTCCCTGGGCTACCTCGGTTCCTGCTCTAACTTTTCACCAAAGTACATAACATTCTGGAAACAGGAAACAGGCCCATCCTCCTTCCCCCCTCAATCGGCTGTCATTCAGTGGCTGTAACACCAGTTCTGAGAAACGATTAGAAAACAAAAATGCATTGTGGCTAAATATAGACCGTCAGTTTGGGGCTTGGCTCTCATGTTACCGAGAGACAGTACCGAGAGACAGTCTATTTGAGCAAGGTGCTAATGCTTCAAAGAGGGCACAGAGAAAGAAGCAGAACGCAGTTCAACAGCTGCATTTCTCTAGCTTTAGTGAAAAGGGAAATCAACCCCTTAATCGCTCCTTTTCAGCTCCCCTTTCAATTACACTTTCAGCTGCGCCGTTAAAATAAATATATATAAAAGGTTGATCTTCCCAAACGAGCGTTGTAATTGGATTCCTGTCTTGTCCCAAGCACGCCTGCACAACTTTCGGTTTTTTTCTGCTTGGTTTTCACACCCACCAACACTCGTAAATGCAAGCAAGAGTATAGAGTAAAGGAGTAAAGTTTCCAGAAGTTACTTTAGAAAGTTTTCTGAGAAGAGAGAGAGCAAGGAAGCGACCCCCCCCTTTTTTTTTTTTAAACACACCAAAGCGTAAAATTTGTACGTTTGTCATTTTGCACAAGGAGGCGTTTTGAGTACTCACGCGGAGCAGAAGTTGTACTGTTAGGGAAATTCATCCTGTAAGCATTCAGAAATGCTTCCCCTTTGCTTTTTTTCCCCCCCACTGACTGTGCTTTCCTATCCACGTCCAAAGATGAATGAAGCAAAGCTGCAGCATAGACCAGGGAAGCAAACGGGAGAAAGCCTCGCTTGTTCAGATGCTTCCAGCATGGTTCTTGACCATTTACCACTGGAAAAGGAAACGGCACATTCAGCTCACATGAAAAGGGGAGGGGCCTTGCTTTTTTAGATAAGCAACAGCTTCTCTTTTTTTCTTTCGTTCAGTCTTCCTCTTCTGCCAATGTTTACTGTGGGACATTTCCACCTTTAGCAAGGAATACGGTTTTCATTGTTCTTTTGCCTCTACATCAACAGGTTTTGCAGAGTTTTGCAATCTTTCTAAAACTTAAAAAAAAAAAAACCTTATAAGAGAAGCAGTAGAAAAACTTAAAAAATGAAGCACAAAATGAGAAGTCCCATCTTTTAATTTCTAGCTTGTTGTAAAATCTTAAGATGGCCTTGAAGCCAGCTAAAATGTTATGTATTCTCCGTAGTAAATCAATAATAATACATAGAATACTTCTCTTACAAGATTGTAAGGGAAGTATTATATGTATATATTATATATACTATGGGTTGTAATATAAGGATTATCTAAATGATAGCAGTGTTCCATATCTCAGTGGCTGCCACAAAGAAGGAGTCAAACTATTCTCCAAAGCACCTGAGGGCAGGACAAGAAACAATGGGTAGAAACTAACCAAGGAGAGAAGCAACTTAGATCTAAGGAAAAACTTCCTGACAATTAATCCGTGGTACAACTTGCCTTCAGAAGTTGTGAATGCTCCAACACTGGAAGTTTTTAAGAAGAGATTGGATAACCATTTGTCTGAAATGGTGTAGGGTTTCCTACCTAAGCAGGGGGCTGGACTAAAAGACCTCCAAAGTCCCTTCCAACAGTTTATTCTATTCTATTCTATTCTATTCTAAAATCTTGAGAACTTCAGAACATTATTGTTTAATAAATTATTATTGCATAAGTGCATAATTGTGCCTACCGTCCCTGTCCTATTGTCCCCAATTATTAGTTCCTATTTCTTGTATTTAAACTTGTTTCTGTTGTAAGCTTTTGACAAATAAATAAATAAAATAAAATAAATAATAAAAAAAGCTCTAGCCCCATCTTAAGCGTGAAAGCCAGCCTGGTGACTTTGGGCCAGTCTCTTTCAGCACAACCCACCTCACAGGAGTATTGTTCTGGGAAAAATCAGAGCAGGAAGGAGGTATGTACGTATTAGGCACGTTTGCTGCCTTGAGTGTAATAAGGTGTTAAAGGGTTAAAAAAATAATAAATAGTGTGGATGATTATCATGAACAATGATAATAAAGAAGATCAATTTCCTCTGAAGATCTGTAAGATTTAAAAAAATTTGTTATGAGTAAATATTAATATTCATGTTTTTAGGAACTTATTTTGAATACATTTGCTCTGCTACTGGAAACACTATCAGAGATTCTTCTGTTTACTTCTGTTTGTTCTTGGTTCTCAATCAGTAATTTGTGTAGCTGATGTTGGGTCACTCCCTTCTCTTTCTCTAACATTTAGGAAGTTGTAATTTCCTGTCAGGAATAATATTATAGTCATTCATTTATCCATTCCATTTTCAATGCATCCTTTCTTCTCACAATCCAGTATTTCAAAATAGGATATACAAATCTTCTCCTGTCCATTTTATTTATATAAATGCCTTGTGAGATTAGATAGAGGCTGCAGTATAACCACTTCCTAAAATAATAAAAGAATGTGGTCAATCGTCCTTTTGCACCTTAAATAAAATTAAAAAATTTCTCTGGAATTAGGATTGGGAAAGGAAGAACTACATCATTTATTTTTAATAATTACACTTTAATCTCGGGGAGTCTGAGACCGCACAGATCAAGTGAGAAGCAAAGCCAAGAGAGTGTGTTCATAATCACTTTACCTATACAAATCTGAATAGGTTTAAAAACTAATTGCAAACCTCCTGGTGTCCCAACCCATACTTTACAAACCTCTGTGTTAAGCTGCTAGATCAAGGACAGTGGTAGGATTCAATTTTTTTTACTTCCGGTTCTGTGGGCATGGCTTGGTGGGCGTGGCAGGGGAAAGATACTGTACAATCTCCAGTCAGAGGTGGTATTTGCCGGTTTTCCGAACTACTCAAAATTTCCGCTACCGGTTCTCCAGAACTGGTCAGAACCTGCTGAATACCACCTCTAATCAAGGGTCTTCAAACTTGACAGCTTTAAGGCTTGTGGACTTCAACTCCCAGGATTCCTGAGCTAACATGATTGGAGGAGGAATTCACACATCTTAAAGCTGTCAAGTTCGAAGACACCTGTGTTAGATAGTTACTGAGACATGTTGCACAAAAACCTAATGGGAGACTTAAGTCTTCCAGTCTTAAAGCTGATTTAGAGTTGCCCGCAACTGCCTTTATCCACCACTATATACCTATGCTGCAAAGCTTGATGGGTAAGCGGAGGTTGTTAAGGGCTGCAGATGGGCAGCCATGCTCACATGTCCTGAATTCCAATTGGACAGGATAGTTTTTATGTAGCATGTTTGTTTTTCCCCCTCACTTTCTTGCCCAGTTTCAAAGAGGATACTATATTTCAATACCTTTAGCCTAAGGTGTGTTATCCTAACATGTCATTACTTAATTTTTAAAAACCAGAATAGGCAATACATTGCATTTATTAGAATTAGCCCGCATAACAAAATAACAGAGTTGGAAGGGACCTTGGAAGTCTTCTTGTCCAATCCTCTGCTCAAGTAGGAGACCTCATGCCATTCCAGACAAATGGTTGTCCAATCTCTTCTTTAAAAAAAACCCTCCAGTGATGAGCACCACAACTCCTGGAAGCAAGCCATTCCACCGATTAATTGTTCTCACTGTCAGGAAATTTTTCCTTGGTTCTAAGTCGGTTCTTTTCTTGATTAGTTTCCATCCGTTACTTCTTGTCCTGCCCTCAGGTGCTTTGGAGAATAGGTTGATCTGTCTTCTCTGTGACAGCCCCTCAAATATTGGAAGACTGCTATCATGTCAGCCCTGGTCTTTCTCTTTGTTAGACTAGACATACCCAGTTCTTGGCAACCATTATATGTTTTAGCCGCCAGCCCTTAATTCTTTATTGCTTTTATCTGAGACCCTTTCTAGAATCTCAGTATCTTTTTTGCATCATGGTGACCAAAACTGGTTGCAGTGTTCCAAGTGGGCTTTTACTATATCATTGTGAGAACACCTACTGAGAGTCCTTCTACCTACAAAGGCCCCTTGGCTATGGAAGAGATGGCTCTAGTAGGCCAAAGTATTATATCTCCCCCTCCACACACATACACACTACAGTTTTCATAAAATAATTAAGATGATTTTATTTCATTGGGCTTTTGAATAAAGTTGTCATGATGTATTTCTTTCCCTCACCCTACCCTGCCCTCCACCCAGTAGGAGCTTTACTGTATTCATTGTTTTGACTGGGTGATTGTTATTTTCTTGTTTGCCAGCCAGAATCTGAGTAAAGCGGAACAGCTTAGAAAGGTTGCAAAACAAACAAACAAATGCTTATGTCACAACAATGCTTGGATGCAGTGCAGCCTGATAGCACAAAGTCTGTGAGAGTAGGCATTGTTGGAGAGCAAGCACAATTCACTGTATAAATAGTACCCAGAAAGATAACATTGAAATATATTCTAGACTCATCTAGTACCAGTTGGCCTTTCCATGCAGGCTCTGCAGTGCAGGGATCTGCTACAACCTCCTTGGTGATAGAAGGCTGTCTGGCCTCTGTTGAAATGCTTCTAGCAAAAAGAAGAACACTGACTCCTTCCACATTGCAGATAGTTCTTGTTTCTGAAATATTCCCATAATTTTAACCCAAATCTAGTTTTCATAATGAGGGTACATTAGAGATCTCTAAGTTTCATTGTTTTCATGCAGACATTTCATTATCGAAACTAGGTAACATTGCCAGTACTAGTCCTAGTACTGGCATTTACCTAGTTTGGATAATGAAACATTTGCAAGAACACAGTCAAGTTCAGAGAGTATCAGGCACCCCTCATTTCAACCCTGAGCTACAAATATTCTCCTTTAATTTCCGTAACATTTGAGGAAGCCATGGGCTCAGACAATGTAAGATACCAAAGTGGTATTCTGCAGGATTTTGTCAGAGAACCTTCTTTACAAGGGACAGAATTAACTGCATACATCAATGCAAAAAAAAAACAAAAACCCAAACAAACCAGAATTGTTTGAGGCCACTAGCCTAGGACATAAATGTGTCCATCTCACCCATGATTATAAATGGAGGAAAAAATGCAAAACAGTAAGAGGCCAATAGATCATATGCATAGATGGGAGGAATATAATTGAACTGAATAATCCAAAATGAGGGCCATAATGGTCATGATGTTGAACATAAAAAATATTTAGCTAAGGCCCTGAAACATGATTCTCCTTCATATTACTTTCATAATATTCAGAGAAGTGTAAATTGGACACACAATTTTATTCCATTTTGCTTATAACTGAAGAGTAGATTTTGTGATACTTGGTATATGGCTGAATTATCTCTGCTGTGTACAGGGATCATGATGTATTACAAAGTCCAGTTTACTGGATTCCAGGTTATGTTCAGAAACCTAGCCTAGATATCCAGGACTAATTTGTTTATTTACTCTTTGTTTGTTTAACTTGTTTGCTGCCCGACTCACCTAGAAGCAACTGTGGGTGGTTTACAAACATTAAAAGCCAATAAAACATTGAAAAATAACAACTCATAAACATATTAATTTACAATTTAAAAAATGGGGAGGAAGGGAGCACAGTGTTCATGGGAGAAGGTGGGGTCTTATCTTAATTCATCAGCCACTAATTCTGCAAGATGAAATACCTTTGGGGCCATAGATGGCCAAGGCAACAGTACAGATTTTCAGATAGAGATACAAAGAAGGTAAGCCATGTGAATAGACAATGAAACCTTCTTTTCCTAATGCAAATGAAAGAAGCAAGCCATACCATATTCTACTCATTTTCTTTAAGAGAAACAACAGGCAGATGGGAGTGAAGCCTACTTCCTGCCATAAATCTGTGATGTAACTGTGCCTTTGTTGTTGGTATTGAGAGTACAATTCCACTTCCTGTACAAATGAATGAAGA